GATAAAAGCCGCCAGCCATCTGTCTTCAAGAGACGTATCAAACATACTAACACATTTGACCTTTGGAGGTTACATCATCATCACAGGACAGAGGAAGGATTGTTTCTTCTTCACGTTCATGCGGTAGGTCTCCATTTGCGCCACCATGGCACAATCGTTGAGTTTGATCTAATGGAATTGCAGAGAACGTAGGAAGAATTTAAATTAGATACACTTATTACTTCAGGATTTCACACGGTCAGCTATATGTCTCCAATAGACATATCTTAAACATACCGATACATTGGACACAAGTCAGTACAACTGTCAGCATTCATTTTCTCCTCCAGGTGATAAAGCGAGTGGAGGCTTTACTATTTTAAATAGGCAGGACATCATTCCTAGCGCTGTTGATTTACGTACGTATCTGTAAGAGGTTGCTTTCCGCCTTACATTGCACACTGCATTTACTTTGTTCTTTCTGTATATCCCACCTTCACCTGCTCTTCGACAGTCTGATCTTCAGAATCTATATGATCAGCTGCTTAAGGCCTGGATCACCATAGTCGAATTTCAATGGGCATAACATTCTATGGGGAAGGGCTGGTACCAACAATAAGCGGACGGTCATTCGAGATTTTATTTCTGATAATTATGTATTCGAAGTTATAGACGATTCAAGTACCTATTTACTGTTCAAGTATCATGATAGAATAGGTCTTCAGCAACCCATGCTTGCCGTAAAAGGCGACTATGCTTGTCGCAAGAGGCGACAAACGGCATCGGGTGGTCAGGCTCGCTGACCTGAATGATGCATGTCATTGGTCCCAAGTGTGTGGATCAATGCTCATGATATCACTCACTGGATTGTCTTGTACAGACTGGATTATTTATAAAGACAGCCGTCATATGCGGCGTTAATCAACAAACAAACAAACAATACAATCGACTCTGCTTTATGAAGAAATTTCTATTAGATATGGAAAGGGTTTTTTTGCTTTATTTACATACCACTCTTGAGCAAGCTCATGATACTGCAGCAGGTGAGGATAATAAGATGTACCAGTAGCTTTGAACTCACTCACTCCAGTTTTTGGATACATTATCGTCACTCTGAATGTTTATGCATAGATCTAAATATGAAACAGATCGATCTGAATTCCTTGTATCTTTAATTTCGAATTCAGATTGCTGAATCAGTGAAAGGGAATAGGCCATTTTACAATTGTTGAGCAATATCAGATCACTGATGTACCTAAATCTTAGGTTAAACGTCTTTGCAAAATGCCCGTGTTTTTTCTGCCAATCCCGGCATTGTATAGATAAACAACTGGGACAAGAGCATAACTGAGATTGTTTTAAAAGAAATGAACTTGGTTCTTTTCTGAGATTGCAACAAGTCAAGCAAATTTTTAAGAGTTTTGGAGATATTATGTCATTGGGTGTCACCGGTTTGGGAAGGATACGCACGACATTTCGCCAACACATGGTATCATCACTATCTGATACTTATTCAGAAACAAATGCTTACCTCATAATAGGAATCGTACAATGGACTCTGCTTTCAGGAGACCTTTCGCATGATCATAGAAAGCGTTTTGTCACTTTTTATGAAAGATTGCCATCAGTGGATTGTCCCCAGAGACGTTCCTTTATTATTGTGAATGTTATGCACTGTGTATTATGACGAAGAAAGAATTATGACGAAGAAAAGATCCGACGTTTCATTTTTCAAGCAAATCTATTGTATGCCAGATGTACTTGATATAATATACATTTTGCTTATCATGCTGTTGTACGATTGCTGATCAATATCATCTTGAACGAGATGGTGGCAGTGAACACATTAGAAATCAGTTACAAGCATTACATATTGGATCACCTGCTGTCTGAAATGACTGATGTGAAGACGTTTAATGAGAAAGACAGGACAAAGGTGATTGTTATAATGATTTATTGAAACCCTTTACTTTTAGGAACACTATTCGGGAAAACATCCTTGAGATCGTCTTCAAAGTGCGATGCCAATGCCTCTGCAGTAGAGTGATCTACAAAAGAATACATCAACTCATATGCATTTCACATATTTGTCACAAACTCGCTGCTTTAACATACATTTTCAGATACAGTTACGTTGAACTGACGGCGTTTCTACTTCATGAAACCGAATCACTGCAATAATATTTTGTCTACCTTACCTTTAATTCACTACTCCAAGTTGTTGATGCTTCTTGAGAACTCTTCCAAACTCACGCTTGAGTCTCCTACTTGTACAAAAGTTGTTGTCAGAATAATTTAGTGAGTTAAGATTTATAGTCACATCGGCAGTATTGCAGCCATATCGTGACGACAACAATTTATAGATACATACGAAATATGTGTAAACTTTCTAAAATACCTGTCAGCAAAGGACAGTAAAATAACTAGAGTATCACAGACATATTTTAAACTAGTATGGGACGAAAAAAAGATATTACTATACATAGCAAAACATGATAAAAACGAGATAGAGATCGCCAGTAACCAAAGTTAGGCCACCATACTTGGGACCGTGGGGACTTACAATCCTGCTTCTCAGTCAGAATAAATATTATGGAGTCAATCAGATTTATACTTCAAAACGGCTCCTAATACAAACACACAAGTATTCATTTTCCATGTCATCATCACTTGACAAATGAAGAAAATTATTTTGATACGAATACACATTTCATTTGTATAAATGAAGTCGAACGCAAAAGCTCTAACCAATTTCATCAGCAAAGGGAAGAAGCTCAATGGCCAATCGCCTGTCCATTAGCGCCTCAGCTTCTGATTGGTCAATTGCCCCGTCCATGTTTGTATCAAGGCTCTCCACATTACGTTTGCCTTATGAGAAAAGTAATGTTTGGAAAGATACAAAATAAAATAACGTGTACAATTACGGTGGTAGAACATGAGCTAGTAGTCAGTTTAATCAGGCTATGAATATGAGTATTGATATCAAATGAACATATAAACATCTGTAGAAACATCCGAAAACGCATACTCTATTTCCATTTCATCTCGTCATCGCATGTAGCTCTTCGGGTGACTGTCTAGGATTTACTCTAAAACAAATAGCGAACAACATGCTGCCTCATTCTGTAGTGCTTAATAACATGATCCGAGGTTCGTTTACTAGAAATCCAGTGACTTATATCATGGGCATCGGTCTTCGCAATTGCATGATTATAGAAAGTATGTTGTCGATTGTATTTCTTACACTGAAAGCAAAGTTGTATCTTTAGTAATTTCATAGAGTACATCCATTTGAATCGGATGTAAAGGTGGGAGGTTAATGTACTATATACATCACTGATTATGTCCTACTACAGCCTACTGAAGCTGCTCATTGTTCTACAAAATTATACCGTAACTAAATTACAGTTTTGGAAAAGAGAAAATACTGTATGTAAGGCACTTTATGAAGTACTCTTTGGCTTCGCTCACCCAACAGCCTGGCTCCAGTCAAAGCTATCCTGGCAACTGTGCTCCATCTAATTCTCTGTCGTCTCCGTCCCCAGGCATCAGACTGTTGGATGGAGATCATGGCCTCAAGCAGGAGGACAAGGAACAAACGCATCTTGGGATGTATTCTGTAGTAAAAATATAGAATTTCCGAAAATAACACACGGATTGAGGGGCCACGGATGGCCCAGTGGTCTAAGGCACCGCGATTCTCTGTGCAGAGTTGCGTCCCCTGGGCACGCCAGAAACCTATGATTGAGGGTTCGAATCCCGGTTCGCCCCGATTATGTTTCTAGGTTTGTCAGCAACATACCCGTGCTCGTGGGTTTCAGCGGAGTGGTAAACGTACGAGACCTGCTTTCCTCCAACATTAAGCTGACACTCCACAATATAGCTGGAATACTGCTACGAAGCACACAGCTGCACATTGTTTGCGAGTCAAAGAACGTCACACAAGACATCACAAGTTAACCTAAGCTCATTCGAACAGCTGTTTTCTATCTGTTTTAATTATTTTACCATGTCAGACTGAGACATGGCGGCAAGTTCCATTCTTTACAGCAGTATCACTCAGGGTATATGTGGTTTCATGCGTCCCTCGTCACACGAACCGGATACTGCTACAATTAAAACATTTGTGTACCAGATGTGTAGGTTGGTTGGTTGGTTTGTTGTTTAACGCCGCACTCAGCAATATTCCAGCTTTTCGAAATAATCGAGGGAATTCGTGATTTTGTGCCTTCCTAGGAACCGGATAGTTCTACAACTTGTAATATTTGTTTTCCAGAGATGTATATGGCAATCTCTGAGACAAATATACTTTTCATTAAGCAAACACTGGAAGACAACAAAAACACTGACGTATTATGAAAATATCACTGGGTCACAGGTCAATTGAATTAGTTGTATAAGCGCATTTTACAGATATTGTCTCGGTGGGGCGTCCTCTGGCCACTTTGGTTCAGCTGCTGTCACATCTGTTAACCACTTTAACATATATCACAGAGGAAAGGTCAACAAGAAAGGTGACATCAAATTAGAGTAGTTTACATAAGTTTGAAAAAAATGCATGGTCCCTGTTTGAACTAATTTCTTGCTCATTGAATATTGTAGAGTTCATTCTCTAAGAACCTATGAATCACGATCGAAGCATTTTTCTATTCCTACTTGTACTCACAAACATGTATGTACCATATCGCCATGGCTTATATAACAGGTACACTAGGGACACAGAATTCGTAATTAGTCGTAGCTCGGAAGTTAGTCTTTCAAATATGTACCTGAGGCTGTTGTTGTGCATATAATGCACCACTTTCGTAACTAATTTCTTCAAATCCTTTTTCACTTATTACCCCCATCACCCCAAGAATATCAAATGGCAATCCAATCAACATCACACACAAACACACTTCATGCCCAACCCTCCCGAAGATGACAATTAGGAAGTGTGGACTAAAGTAGATACTTATCTCTTGTCATATTTACATTATCACGTATCTGTCAAACAAGCACTTAATATATTTTGGCAACAGATTTAATTCACGGGTTGTTCAACGGAAAGAATGTATAAATACCAGGGTCACTACATTCATAATACCACTGACCTGACTCGTGTCCTTCTGGTGAGTAATACTTTATACACTATCTGTCCTGATTAGTTTACGTATAACTTATCATATATTTTTTCGGAGCAGACTGTCTTAAAGTTGCCATTGTTACATAATTTAGCCGAGACAATTGTTTGTAATGATAATCATGGGTGTAATTTGGGGAAATTCTTTCTTTTCAATACAGAATACATCCCAAAATGCGTTTGTTCCTTGTCCTCCTGCTTGTGGCCATAGTCTCAATCCCTCAGTCTGATGCCTGGGGTCGACGGAGACGACGGTTCGTCAGATGGCGCACAGTTGGCAGATTAGCATTGACTGGAGCAGGGCTGTTGTTGGGTGAGCGAAGCCAAAGAGTACTTCATAAAGTGCCTTAATACCGTATCTTCTATTTTCTAAAAACTGTACATTTAGTTAAGGTTTAGGTTTATAGGAGAATCAGCGGCTTTCGTAGGCTGTAGTGAGACGTAGTGGGTGATGTATAAAGTGCATAAATCTCACTCCTTTACATCATGTTAAAATGAAGGTAATAAATGAAAAGACTGAAAAGACAAATCTGCTTTCAGTGTAAGAAATATAACCGACAAGATGCTTTCCATAATCATGCCACTGCTTAGACCAATGAGGTAAGTCAATGGATTGTCTGGTTCACACTCCATTATTTAAAGACTGCTGTTATATTACCTGGAATATTGCTGATAGAAAACAACCACGGACTCAATAGAATATTGTTTTACAATACATGAAAGTTTTCGTTGACAAAGTCTATTGTAGTACACAAACGTAATGAAAATGTGCACATGTCATTAAGCACTACTGAATGTTTATAAGTATATCTTAGACAGTCCCCCGAAGAGCTACATGCGGTGAGATCAAAAGGAAAAGAGTAATGGAATAGCTTTGTGTTCAGTTTATTTAAATACTCATATTCATTGCCTGATTAACATGACTACTAACACATCTTCCATAACCGAAACTCCATTCATGTTCTTTCATTTTGTATCTTTCCAAACATGACTATTTTCTTTTAAGGCAAACGTAATGCGGATAACCTTGATACAAACAAGGATGGGACAATTGACCTGTCAGAAGCTGAGACGCTAATGGACAGACGATCGGCCATGGAGCTCCTTTCGTTCGCTGATGAAAATGGTTAGAGCTTTTGTATACAATTTCATTAATACAAATGAAATGATTTTCTTCATTTGTCAAGAAGTCTTGATAGCATAGAAGATGAATACTTGTGTGTTTGTATTTACATTGACCATCATTGGGAAATTGGACCCGTTTTAAAGTATATATCCGATAGACTCATGAATATTTATTCTGACTGACTGCAACAACCTTTCTCCACTTAGGAGACTCAAGCGTGAGTTTGGAAGAGTTCGCAAGGAGCATCAACAACTTGGAGCAGTGAGTCAAATGTAAGGTAGAGCAAATCTTTCTGCAATGATTCCGTTTTGTGAAGTAGAAACCGTCATCCGTTCAACATGTCTGTATGTGAAAATGTATGTTTAAGCAGCGATTTCATGTCAAATATGGCAAGATCATATAATTTGATGTATTTCTTTTGTAGAGCACTCCATCGAAGAGGCACTGGCATCGCACTTTGAAGACGTTCTCAAGGATGTTTTCCTGAATAGTGTTCCTACTGAAAAATGGTTTCAATAAATCACTATAGCAATCACCTTTGTCATGCCTTGTTAATTACATGTCTTAATAGCAGTCATTTTAAACAGCAGGTGATCCAATATGTAATACTTGTAACTGATTTCCAATGTGTTCACTGCAAACATCTCCTTCAAGATACGGATCTGCAATCGTACAACAACATAATCAGCAAAATGTATATCAAGACTTAGTACAACTGATATACAATAGGTTTGCTTTTAAGATGAAACATGGGTCTCTTTTCTGCGTCATAATACGCAGTGCATATCATTCACATTTACATCTCTCGGGACAATCCACTCATGGCAATCTCTCTTTAAAAATGACAAACGCTTTCCAGGATCATGACAAATCTATTCTGAAAGCAGAGTTCATTGTGCGATTCCCATTATAACATAAGCATATGTTTATGTATCACTGTCAAATAGTGATGATACCGTGTGTGTGCAATTTAGGAATGCATTTTAAAAGAAACAAACAAATTCCTGTTTCCATGGCAACAAGCTTGACTTTGACCCTGTTCAACAACAACGAGAACAACCTCGACATGATACATTAACATCATCAACAAATAGGGACCCATCAACAGAGGCATTTAAAACCTTAGGTCAACTATTTATTTAACGTTACCGATAATATGCTACCTTGAGGGACACCCTGATTGTGATCGTAAATATCAGACAAGATGGAACCCATATGTTCCTGGAAATGCCTATCTGTTAAAAACTGTGACACAAAGTGGGGTAAACGACCTATCAGACCAATCTCATTCAGATCTTTTAAAATTCCATATTTCCAGATGGTATCATAAGCTTTATGCTATGGTGTGTTGTATATTTATTATGCAAATTTTAACAAACGTTTCCAATCGCACCAAATGGTCAATGTTACTTCTATTTTTCCTAAACTTCTTCATCATCAAAATATGGCCCTGTGATTTAAATAACGGTGAAGATTACAATGTATTTTCATTACATGAGTTAAATACCGCCCTTTAGCAAGCAGGGGATGATAATATCCACTATCAGTAATTGAAGCATTTACCTGAATCATGTCTTGAGATTTACACATATTTGACCTACTATGGCCGTCAGTGAGTTTTCCTCCTTCGTGGCATAATGCCATTGTGGTCCCCATAGCAAAACCTGGCCGGGATCATACAGATCCATGAAAACATGATAAAAACGAGATAGAGATCGCCAGTAGCCAAAGTTAGGCCACCATACTTGGGACCGTGGGGACTTACAATCCTGCTTCTCAGTCAGAATAAATATTATGGAGTCAATCAGATTTATACTTCAAAACGGCTCCTAATACAAACACACAAGTATTCATTTTCCATGTCATCATCACTTGACAAATGAAGAAAATTATTTTGATACGAATACACATTTCATTTGTATAAATGAAGTCGAACGCAAAAGCTCTAACCAATTTCATCAGCAAAGGGAAGAAGCTCAATGGCCAATCGCCTGTCCATTAGCGCCTCAGCTTCTGATTGGTCAATTGCCCCGTCCATGTTTGTATCAAGGCTCTCCACATTACGTTTGCCTTATGAGAAAAGTAATGTTTGGAAAGATACAAAATAAAATAACGTGTACAATTACGGTGGTAGAACATGAGCTAGTACTCAGTTTAATCAGGCTATGAATATGAGTATTGATATCAAATGAACATATAAACATCTGTAGAAACATCCGAAAACGCATACTCTATTTCCATTTCATCTCGTCATCGCATGTAGCTCTTCGGGTGACTGTCTAGGATTTACTCTAAAACAAATAGCGAACAACATGCTGCCTCATTCTGTAGTGCTTAATAACATGATCCGAGGTTCGTTTACTAGAAATCCAGTGACTTATATCATGGGCATCGGTCTTCGCAATTGCATGATTATAGAAAGTATGTTGTCGATTGTATTTCTTACACTGAAAGCAAAGTTGTATCTTTAGTAATTTCATAGAGTACATCCATTTGAATCGGATGTAAAGGTGGGAGGTTAATGTACTATATACATCACTGATTATGTCCTACTACAGCCTACTGAAGCTGCTCATTGTTCTACAAAATTATACCGTAACTAAATTACAGTTTTGGAAAAGAGAAAATACTGTATGTAAGGCACTTTATGAAGTACTCTTTGGCTTCGCTCACCCAACAGCCTGGCTCCAGTCAAAGCTATCCTGGCAACTGTGCTCCATCTAATTCTCTGTCGTCTCCGTCCCCAGGCATCAGACTGTTGGATGGAGATCATGGCCTCAAGCAGGAGGACAAGGAACAAACGCATCTTGGGATGTATTCTGTAGTAAAAATATAGAATTTCCGAAAATAACACACGGATTGAGGGGCCACGGATGGCCCAGTGGTCTAAGGCACCGCGATTCTCTGTGCAGAGTTGCGTCCCCTGGGCACGCCAGAAACCTATGATTGAGGGTTCGAATCCCGGTTCGCCCCGATTATGTTTCTAGGTTTGTCAGCAACATACCCGTGCTCGTGGGTTTCAGCGGAGTGGTAAACGTACGAGACCTGCTTTCCTCCAACATTAAGCTGACACTCCACAATATAGCTGGAATACTGCTACGAAGCACACAGCTGCACATTGTTTGCGAGTCAAAGAACGTCACACAAGACATCACAAGTTAACCTAAGCTCATTCGAACAGCTGTTTTCTATCTGTTTTAATTATTTTACCATGTCAGACTGAGACATGGCGGCAAGTTCCATTCTTTACAGCAGTATCACTCAGGGTATATGTGGTTTCATGCGTCCCTCGTCACACGAACCGGATACTGCTACAATTAAAACATTTGTGTACCAGATGTGTAGGTTGGTTGGTTGGTTTGTTGTTTAACGCCGCACTCAGCAATATTCCAGCTTTTCGAAATAATCGAGGGAATTCGTGATTTTGTGCCTTCCTAGGAACCGGATAGTTCTACAACTTGTAATATTTGTTTTCCAGAGATGTATATGGCAATCTCTGAGACAAATATACTTTTCATTAAGCAAACACTGGAAGACAACAAAAACACTGACGTATTATGAAAATATCACTGGGTCACAGGTCAATTGAATTAGTTGTATAAGCGCACTTTACAGATATTGTCTCGGTGGGGCGTCCTCTGGCCACTTTGGTTCAGCTGCTGTCACATCTGTTAACCACTTTAACATATATCACAGAGGAAAGGTCAACAAGAAAGGTGACATCAAATTAGAGTAGTTTACATAAGTTTGAAAAAAATGCATGGTCCCTGTTTGAACTAATTTCTTGCTCATTGAATATTGTAGAGTTCATTCTCTAAGAACCTATGAATCACGATCGAAGCATTTTTCTATTCCTACTTGTACTCACAAACATGTATGTACCATATCGCCATGGCTTATATAACAGGTACACTAGGGACACAGAATTCGTAATTAGTCGTAGCTCGGAAGTTAGTCTTTCAAATATGTACCTGAGGCTGTTGTTGTGCATATAATGCACCACTTTCGTAACTAATTTCTTCAAATCCTTTTTCACTTATTACCCCCATCACCCCAAGAATATCAAATGGCAATCCAATCAACATCACACACAAACACACTTCATGCCCAACCCTCCCGAAGATGACAATTAGGAAGTGTGGACTAAAGTAGATACTTATCTCTTGTCATATTTACATTATCACGTATCTGTCAAACAAGCACTTAATATATTTTGGCAACAGATTTAATTCACGGGTTGTTCAACGGAAAGAATGTATAAATACCAGGGTCACTACATTCATAATACCACTGACCTGACTCGTGTCCTTCTGGTGAGTAATACTTTATACACTATCTGTCCTGATTAGTTTACGTATAACTTATCATATATTTTTTCGGAGCAGACTGTCTTAAAGTTGCCATTGTTACATAATTTAGCTGAGACAATTGTTTGTAATGATAATCATGGGTGTAATTTGGGGAAATTCTTTCTTTTCAATACAGAATACATCCCAAAATGCGTTTGTTCCTTGTCCTCCTGCTTGTGGCCATAGTCTCAATCCCTCAGTCTGATGCCTGGGGTCGACGGAGACGACGGTTCGTCAGATGGCGCACAGTTGGCAGATTAGCATTGACTGGAGCAGGGCTGTTGTTGGGTGAGCGAAGCCAAAGAGTACTTCATAAAGTGCCTTAATACAGTATCTTCTATTTTCTAAAAACTGTACATTTAGTTAAGGTTTAGGTTTATAGGAGAATCAGCGGCTTTCGTAGGCTGTAGTGAGACGTAGTGGGTGATGTATAAAGTGCATAAATCTCACTCCTTTACATCATGTTAAAATGAAGGTAATAAATGAAAAGACTGAAAAGACAAATCTGCTTTCAGTGTAAGAAATATAACCGACAAGATGCTTTCCATAATCATGCCACTGCTTAGACCAATGAGGTAAGTCAATGGATTGTCTGGTTCACACTCCATTATTTAAAGACTGCTGTTATATTACCTGGAATATTGCTGATAGAAAACAACCACGGACTCAATAGAATATTGTTTTACAATACATGAAAGTTTTCGTTGACAAAGTCTATTGTAGTACACAAACGTAATGAAAATGTGCACATGTCATTAAGCACTACTGAATGTTTATAAGTATATCTTAGACAGTCCCCCGAAGAGCTACATGCGGTGAGATCAAAAGGAAAAGAGTAATGGAATAGCTTTGTGTTCAGTTTATTTAAATACTCATATTCATCGCCTGATTAACATGACTACTAACACATCTTCCATAACCGAAACTCCATTCATGTTCTTTCATTTTGTATCTTTCCAAACATGACTATTTTCTTTTAAGGCAAACGTAATGCGGATAACCTTGATACAAACAAGGATGGGACAATTGACCTGTCAGAAGCTGAGACGCTAATGGACAGACGATCGGCCATGGAGCTCCTTTCGTTCGCTGATGAAAATGGTTAGAGCTTTTGTATACAATTTCATTAATACAAATGAAATGATTTTCTTCATTTGTCAAGAAGTCTTGATAGCATAGAAGATGA